TAAATTGGGGCTTTGCAGACAACCCAAATCAGTGTAGGCCAAGATCAAAAACAAAACCAAAAACACTCAATTGTTTAAATATGCAATAAAGTACACACTTGATTTAGCCTAACGAACTTAAAATTCTAGGGTTCTTTTACCTGGTTTCCTCAGTTCTCTTTGTGGAGTCAAAATAAGCCTCTTCCTATCTTCATTAAAGACTGTGCTTAAAAATGATGATGAAATTAAGAAGATTTTAAGAAAAATATTTTGCATATTCCACAAGGGAAGTTTGAAGACAAAATAAAAAACATTCTTAGCTCATAATTCCCTAAGAGTACCATGGGTATGTTTTCACTCAGCCAATATGATCATCAAAGAAGCCTGGGTTTTAATGAGATAGATATCTCAGAGATCAAATGATCGACAGAAACCCTGTCTTTTCTTTCTGTGTCAGCCTTCAAAATTGAAGTATCTCCTGTACTTTTCTGTACTTTAAAAATGTACAAACATTACACGAAAACTGCTTTTACTGCCCATTAGGTCATGTCACTTATAGGTCGAGACATTATTTGTGCCATTAGCTATAGTGGCTGGAACATGTTTAAGATTTATTAAAAAATGTAAATAATCTGAAGATTGTAGTTATCATCAGCATTAATAAAGACTGATGATTTATTATTTCTTACCAGTTTTATTTAACCTAATTTCTCAGGAAACAGATAAGTGACAGAGGAAAGAGTTGTAACAAGATCATAGTACAAGAACGGCCTAAAGGTAATCCTTAGGAGGAAGAGGAGCCGTTGCTGTCACTACTCTGACTATAATTATCATTTTGTGCCAGAAACTTTTCTAGAGGGATTTTATTTTTATTTATTTATTTTGGTGCTTATTCTGGGTTTATGAAATGGAAATAAGAGAGATCTTAGTTTTGGCCAACTCTGCCAGCTCTGTGAACGTGGACAGTGTATCACTGAGGCTCTCTGCATTTTGACTTTCTCACCTATAAAATTTGAGATCTGGACTGGGATCTCTATGGCCCTTTCCAGCTTTAAAATTCTAGGATTCTAATCCAGTCACGGAGAAATAGGTGATCCCTTTTGATCAAGGCTAATTTCACACCTGCCTTTCTCTTCTAGGCTGGGAACCTCCCTCCCTCAGTTCACACACATACATTTTATTTTTCTTGCCCTTCCTTTGGCTCCTTTTCTGCCATCCATATACACATGTTCGCACCTTCCTATCTTTGATTTTTTCCCCCTAAATTTTCCCTCTTAGTTTAGTGTATGTATGTCGTAGGTGAGAAAGCCAATGTTAAAATTTTGTCCTGTAGTCTAAATTATAAATTAACAGTAACCCTTGGTGCAGTAGTGAGTCATTTCCCTAATGAAATTCAGTTGTTTTCTTTTTTCCAAGTTGTTTTATTGATAGTTCTCAGCATTCAGTCACTTCTTTCATGAATCTCAAAACGTTACAAACATGGCCCTCTTTAATCACCCTGAGAAAATGAAGCTTAGAGATAGAGTTTAACATGATGGGGGGAAAAATTAGTGTTTTTTTTTAATAAAAATGATGCCATATTATACATGCAAAAAATAAAATTCTAGAATTCTTGAAAAGACTAAAGAGGAGAAAAGAACATGAGGATTATAATCAGTTTTTAAGCGAAGTTTCAACCCCCCCCCCAAATAACCTTTGGGAAGTAGTGGTCTTTAGGTTTACAAGATCCTGTCTATAAATATGTGTATAAGGTGGAGGGCACTTCTACTGAGCACTTGGAAATGTTAGATGTCACTTTCTCCAGGAAGTTTTTCTTAAACACTCACCCTCCTGCACACCTTTTAAAATGGATATTCATTCCCACCTCTGTGTTCCAGCTGCATCTTCTGTGTGCTTGTATTGTTATTGCATTGTACTCTCTTCTTCCTTCATCCCTTTATCTTCATCTCCAACTTTGTCGATAGATTTGCAGTTATCATATAATGGGAACTTGAGCTTTGCTGTTCCTCACTTTAATCTTTCTTTCACCCTTTTTTCTCTGCTTCACTGGCATGCCTTCTTCCTCTTCTCTCCTGAGTCATGGTGTTTCCCAAGGTTGTGTCTTCCACAGTCTTCTCTTAATTTGCCCTTTTGCGATCCTGTGCGTCCACTGACTTAAACCGTCATCTTGTAAGTATGACTTTCTTATCTACATCTAGTTCTGACCTCTCAAATCAATTCCATCTTTACCTCTAAAACTGCTATCTGGAAATCTCCACTTAGCTGTGTTTTACTCACTTTGAACTCAGCACATCATTATCCTGGTCCTAGATCATCTTTTCCACACCTCCTTGTTTCTGATAATAAGTGAGAGTTCTTCCTACGTTGTTGTGAGACTCCTCCTGGAGCGCAGTTCTGATCATGTCGTTCCCATTGCTGATTCTGTATTTCATCTTCCTAAGCCTCAGTTTCCTCACCTTAGTGTGTTCTGAACGTTTGGATTCTGGTGACTGAAGGATATACTCATATGAAAGAGGCTAAACTTGGTGCCTGGTATATGGTAGGTAGGCATTCCCTGTTAGACTTTCCCTTATTTAAACACCCTGTATTGTTTACAAAATAGAGCCCGCACTTCTCAGCCTGACATATAAACTCTCATCAAACTATCCCCTGAAAATTCTTCACTTTTTCTCATTTTTGCTCATTTTTTTCTCTTCTTCTGAAAGTTGACCCTTTATCATCTATACCAGCAGAAATTCTAACCACCTTTCAAGACCCAGTGTAAGTGCTTTCTCTTCCATGAAAGGCTCCCTAACTCACATTTAGATGTGAATTCCTCTTTTCCTTTTCAACCCTTTCTCCACAATTTACAAATTGTGTCTTGCATTATAGGTGTGGATAATGTTGACATTTTTCTGTTAAAAGTTTAGGTTCATTTTGAGGGCTATCCTTATTCTTAACTTTTTTTTTTATAACCTTCACAGTGCTAATAGAGGACCTTCTCCGTAACAGACCCTCAAAAATATTTTTCAAACAACTTCTAATAGATAATCAGTGTGTTTTGTTTCTACTTTCAGATTCCTAAATGCTTCAGTGGGAAAAACTGATTGTGAAATATGATAGAGTTATGGGTCATGACTTTGCACAAATATGCTAAAACTACATTTGATTAGCTCATGCAGTAGTCTGATAGGGAAGGGGTATATGGTTTGTGCACTTTATGTGGTATTAGGAGAATGGGACCAGTCCTAGACTAAACATTTTCATAATCTTTCATTGACCTTCCTGGAGATAGACTGCTCAGTCTTTGCCATCTCTAATTATTGTAATTTTGTACTTAGAACACATGTGTTGTGTGGAAATCTCCGTGGCTTGTACTGCTTCCCATGCCCTGCTGGCAAGCACTGTAGGTAGTTGTTGAGGTTCCATTTTGCAAAGGCCACAGTTAAACTCAAAGTCGTTTTGAAGAGAATTCACGGGTCTACCCTGTCAAAGTAAAGGGGCAATTAAAGCAATTAAAATATCATATTCATGGAAACAAATTTTAAAAACCGATAAAACCCATAATGTAACACCATTATTATTGAGGACAAGAAGAGGAGGGTGTGGGGGGTAGGAATGTGAAACCTATGAAGAGATGAAGAAAAACTACCCTGATTATTGTTTCTCAACTCTTAATCTGCCTTTCCCAGGGTACCCCTGGCCTATGATTCCTGGAGCCCTTTATACAAAGTTTGTATGTTCTTGGTTAGGATGAAACTTTGGAACAGTGGAAAGAATGTTGGTTTTTGGCATCAGAGAAACTAGATTCAAGTTCTGGCTCTGGTGTTACTATGTGACCTTAGGCTAGTCACTTAATATCTCTGGTGCCTTAGTTTCTATCTGTAAAATGAAGCTGTTAATATCTGCCTCCAGTAGTTGTTATGATGATTGAGAATAATGTTGTTAAAACACTTCCAAATTATAAAGTGTTTTGTGAGTAATCACTCAGTGAAGGAGCTATGATGACTCACTTCTGAAACCAGAAGAATGTTGGAAGCTTTTGGTTCTCACCTCGAGGCCTCTGCTCTTTTTTCTCTGTCTGCAACTCTCTTCTATTCTTTTCATTCTGCAAGTCTTAACTTTAAATATCCTCACTTCCTTGATCATTGTATTAGTTTTCTAGGGCTGCTAAAATAAAGTAACCCAGATTGGGTGATTTAGACAACAGAAATTTATTTTCTCATAGTTCTTGTAGCTAGAAGTCTGAGATCAAGGGGTCAGCATGGTTGATTTCTGTTGGACTCCTCTCTCCTTGGCTTGCAGATGGTTGTCCTCAGCTGACTTCACATCCTCTTGTCTCTTTGACTGATTGTGTTCTAATCTCTCTTCTTATAGGGACACCAGTCATATTGAATTAGGGCCCCACTCATATGACCTCATTTTTCCTTAGTGACCTCTTTGGAGGCCCTGTCTTCAAATGCAGTCATATTTGGAAGTACTGAGGATTAGAATTCCAACATAGGAATTGGGGGGGGGGTAGGCGGGGACACAATTCAGCCCATAACAACTACCTTACCAAAAGTACTTCCCCCATTTTCTATTCCTTTTATAGTGCTCATTTAAAATTATTTTATTTGTTTACTATTTTTGCCTGACTTTTTCACTTAAATGTAATTGTCATGAAGGCAGAAATTAGATATTATTACTTTTGTATCCTCAGCCTCTGGCAAGATGCCTTGCACAAGGTAAGTACCTGGTTTTATCACTTACTAGCCATGTAACTGTGGGCAAATAATTTAGCTCCTTTGTGCCTCAGTTTACTTAGTAAGATGGAGATCTTATGATTATGCACTTCCTATTACATTAGCACTTTTCAGTGCTTAGAATAGTACCTGACACATATAGAATGCTCAATAAATATTAGCCATTATTCTTGCTTTTCCACATATTTTTTGAAACAGTGAATGCATGAATCAAGTGCCTTGTAAAAAATTTAAATATTTGTGAATTGAGATCCATGTGGCACTCTATTCACAAAGCAGTTTTCTTTTTCATTTCAGAATGGTATATTCTTCACTGAACACAGGAACAACCATAAAACCCCTTTGGTACATGAAGCTTTGTGATTCTAACTACATTCTCAGTGTCTTCTGTCCAGTCACTTTGACTACACGCCTCAGGTCTCTATGGTGGGTGTGTCTTTGTGTACTTGCATTGGTGATGGTCTTTGTGTGTCTGTAGTTTTTTATTCTGGAAGTTGGAAAACAAGCATGTCTCTAAGATAAAATGACCCTGGATTCCAGGAGAACTAGAGATCAACGGCCTAGCTCTAGCAGAGGATGACATGAGTTCACGGAAGTTGGGTTCCAGAGAGCTGTTGAGCAAGGAGTCAAGGGAACTGGTTCAGGAACTTGGCCTAGCTGGGGCCGAGAGCTTGGAGGAACAGAAAAGAGCCCCTTTTTTTTTGGATGTCTGGCCTGTTTCAGGAGAAAAAGCTGGAAGCTCAAAGAACTTATGTGATTCTTAATCGGACTGAGACCAGGAATGCCTGTATGCATCTACACCAGGATGGATGGATCCAGACTGAGACGTCTCAAAATGATCTAATCAATTCAGAGATGCTCTGTGATTTACTACTTTGTAGGGCTCTGTAGTTCTCTGCTTATACTTTGGTTTTTTAACTACATCTGGACTGCAAATAAAAAAGGACCCATGTCAATCTTCACTTATAAGAAGGTAAATGAACTTATTATTTCACAGAAGATTTTCCTAAAATAAGTTGTTTATACAAGCATTCAAAACATAGTGAATTAATAATAATGGCTAATATATAGAGCATTTACAATGTGTCAGGCACTGTGGTAAGCACTTTCAATATTATCACATTTGATTATCACACATCTGTGAGATAGATAATGTATCACTCGAATTTAAAGAGAAAGAAACAGTCTCAGAGAAATGAAGCTGGTCAAGTTTACAGCTTATAAGTGGTAGAGCAGGATAGAAATTAGGTATATTTGCTTATAAACCTCTGTACTCTACTTACCTTCCAACTAGCCTTTATTATTTATGTCCCCAACTAGCATTTATCATGTATGTGCTAAATGGTATATGAATATTATAGCTTTTAATCTTGGCAACAGTTTTGTGTGTGTGGTATAATGTAATTATAATTATAATTATAATTCCTAATTTTCCAGTGTGGATTCTGAGGCTTAGAGAGATTTGCCTAGAGGTTTCAATTTGTGAGATAGGATCATAAGCAAAAATGCCAGGACTTCAAGTGAAAGCATTAATAGTAAGAATTTTGCCTTATTGTCACAACCATATTTATAACTCATGTATCTTTTCTTTATTTGCAGTCCAGATGTAGTTAAAAAACCAAAAAACACAGTGCAGTTACCATAAATAGAAAGAAGGAGTCTTTGGATTAAGTAGTGGTAAATATCATACAGTTTTATTCAGTGTGAAGCATAGAGACTTCCACATAGGAATGCTTCCAACACTAACATAGCACATGTGCCTCTGAAGCCAGCTCTTTCTCAACCCTGAACAGCTTCTTATTTGGACAGTGCTGGCACTAAATACCATAACAGGAATGACTTTTGGCCACACTTTTTTGAGGGGAATAAGATGACCAAAAAAAAAAAGTGCATATGTAAAACAGAGATTTGGCAAATGGACGGTCCAATTCTTGACATCCCTACGGATTCACCCTCATTAAAATAAAAGTATATAGCTTTCCCCTTCGTTTCTCCTAGGATGATCTCTGAATTCCCATGTTGAACAGAAAATGCTAAAATATCAACATCCCTATGAATTACTCGCTTACCCCAATAAACCCTGAAATTCAACCTCAGGATTCTGTAGTTACAGACACACTGCTGTGGGCTTTCTTCTAACACATGACAGTCTCCATGCACACTAATGCTGCATGTTCATTCTCTCCGGAGGCTGTAAATAATCCTCTATGGCACATGTGACTTTTTTTTTTAACTGCATAAGTAGACAAAAAGCTTTGGGAAAAAAATATGGGCTTTCTTCCCCCTTCATGAACTCTTTAGTCTGATTATTGGACCCAAGATAAGCAAAACACAAGTGTGTTTGCTCTTAATTAAAGCTTTTTTCATAGTGTATCCAGAGGCACCATTTCAGAGTGTGCAAACCAGATGAGATGAATAGTAAGTACTGTGGTTTACTCCTTCTAAGATTATCTGTGCATTTTTGTTTTGAGAAGTTAATGTTAGGAACTTAAACAAGAATCCTTAATACTTAGGGGAAAAGTGGGTATGCGTCTCAGTTGTTCTCAGGTATTTGTGTTTCCATAGCAAGGGCTTTACAGAGAAACTGCCATCTGGATTGGGAATGAGGGAAGGAATAGGAGCGTGTTCTCACCTACAAAGAGGTAAAGGTATGATTCTTGCCCTTGAATTTCCTTAGCACTTTCTCAGTTCTTCTCATTTTTTTTGTCATCAAAACACAGGGCTTCTGTTCCCAAGTGGGCTATAAATTCCTAGTCATATGTTTTTTGTGTGAATAAATAAAAATATAAAATTGATATTAGTCATTCCAGAAAACAGGATAGCTCAACAGGATCTCATAAAACTTGAAAATAAAGGCATCACTTTGCTTTTTAGATACAGTAACAAATGGAGGGAAAAGGTTCTTGTCTAGATTTAGTTTCAAAATCAGTCAGTGAAACACAAATAAGCAAATCATCTAGCACTAGAGTTCTAGATTCCATATCCTGGCCTCCTTCCTTCTGTCTTTATAGCCTATTTGACTTTGGGTTTTTAACCTTTCTGGTTCTTAGTTTTCTTATCTATATTAATGCTATGCAATGTTTAGGCATTATGCAAAGCTCTTCATACATTATCCCTTTTAATCTTCATAATAATACCATGAAATAGATATTATTTCCTATTATATGGATGAGGAAGTTGAGGTTTTGAGAGGCAAGTACCTTGTCCAACTTGATATAACTAGTGGAAGGGTTAACATCAGATTCATGACATTCTGAGACCAATGCCCAAGGATTTAACCCCAGGTGGTTGTAAAGATAAACCGCAAAGATAAACTGAGATAGTGGTTACATATTAGGGGCTTAACAAATGAATTATTAATTCAATAGATATTTATGACTGCTTCTCCTGCATGTCATGTACTATTCTATGAATTTAGACTA